TTCAAATTTATTTTGACTTATTTTTTCTGTTAATATTCGTTTTCAAATTTTATGTAGTTTCATTAAACTTTAATCATCACATTTTTATGCCCACAAGGCTAATTAATTTTAATTTGTTCTTGGATGCTAATTAATTAATTTTGGATGTATCATTTAGAAGATGCTTTTTGCAGTGATGATTAAATTGATCAATGATTCGGAACTTAATGGCATAGTTGACGATGGCACACATGAAAATACTGATATTACTAATATCAGTATTTAATTTAATATTAACGGTTGTTTTGTATTTGTATTAGTATATCGTTTCTATATGGAATACATCTTCTCTATAAATTTTATTTTTCTATTCATTCCCTTAATATTTACTAATAATTTATAATTGTTTGCACATTTCATCACATTCACCATTAAATTTATTTTTCTATATTTAATTATTTCTTTACTTCATTTTTGTGTATTTAATTTCTTTTCATTTATCGTAATATTATAGAAAAATTTTTCGTGAATTTTATCATTTATTCAATTCCTTGAAAATATCATTAACTTTATTTACTAATTTTACTACTGGAACCTTTCCATTTCATTGTAGTGCCCATCTTATTTATCTGAAAGTAACTTCTGATATCGTATCCATTTCACTTAACGATACCGTAATCCATCAATGATTACATTTTTATTTGTAATCATTAATACTTAAAATAAACAGAATTTAAAAAAAAGATATTTTCCAAAATTTTGTTGTTAATCAGTTTGTAAATTATAGCATACTGTAAATGTTTAGAAAATTATGTTCAACTGATAAATGCAATCAATATTTATTCATTAGAACTAATACTTATGAAAAAATTATTGCTTCTTATCTTCTTCGCATATCAGTTTATCTAATGCTTTTGACCAATCAATGACCATTACCTCATCAATTTCTTGACCACTATCAATTTTTTCACTCCAACTTTCATTTTTCTAACACTTTTAATATTGGCAGGTCAAAAGTTTACTTTCATTAATTTTTTTTTTGTTTTGATATAGTGACTGATTTTTTTGTTTTTCCTTTTACTTTCATAATTTTTTTTAAAATATAAGTATTTAGTGATTGATTTCTGTCCCAACTTTCATTTATCCAACATTTTGAATCCAATCAATGACCCTTTATCACCATCAATCCCTTTTTATACAAATGTTCGGTGATTTATTTCCATTCAACTTTCTTTTATCTAATACATTTGACCTATCAGTAACCCTTTATTTCCGTGAATCCTTTTTCTATAAATTTTCAGTGAATGATTTCAACTCCAACTTTCTTTTATCCAATACTTTTGACCTATCAATGACCTTTTGCCTCCATAAATTCTTTTGTACAAATGTTTGATAAATAATTTCACTACCACATCTTTCCATCTATCATTATTTTCTCTTTTCATATCATTACAATTACCACCCATTATTACATTTGCAATTTTCTCTCATTAATTAAAAAGAAAGCGGAAAAAAAAATTCATTTCTTCAGTCATTTCAGGAAAAAAAAAATTGTCACCAAAAAAAAGCAAATAAATTAATTTTTTTTTGTCAGTTTATTAAGAAAAAAATTAAAAAAATCCTTCATTTTATTTAATGATTTAGTAAAAAAAAAGAAAAAAAAATTGGCAATAAATAAGGGAAGGAAGAAGAGAGAAGGGAAAAAACAAAACAAATGAAAGATCAAACAAATAGGCAGATTCATGGTGACATGAACGACATGAAAATTATTGTCAATCATATTCATTTATTATTTCATCGCTTTCTACTATTATTTCTCTTTGCTAATTGTTTATTTCAAAAAAATGTTATTGCAAAATTTCGTTTTGCATATATTAGTGTCACAAAAGGTAATTAATTCATTAATATTTCAATTATTCCAATTTTTAGTAATAATTTTATTTTTGCTGAAAAACTTTTAATAAGTGGTTTCTTTTTCTTTTATGTTTCACAATTTTTAATAAATAATTTTAACAAACAATTTTTTTTTTCATTTGTGTTTCAAAATTTTAGTGAACCTTTTTTGGTGAACGATCCTTTTTTTTTTCTTTATGATTTTTATTCATTTCATTGTTTGGCAGTAATTATTAAACTATGATTTTTTTCAGTATTTTAATTTAATACTTTAATTATGCTTTAATCAATACTCTATTTTTTTTAAATTCGAATAGATATTAGTTAGTCACAGGTTTGTTTAGACTTTGTATAGTTATTCTAAAAGATTATTGGATTTTTTTTTTTTTAATAAAGAACTAATAACCTAAATTTAATTATCAATGGTACTTAAAAAAATTGAACTCTTTAGCATAACCATTATTAATTGTTATATGGAATTTAATGTCATTCAAATGTCACATTTAATTTGTATTTTTTAGAACCAAAAATACGTCAAATTGAGCCATGGGAAAATAAACTATTAGCGACTATTTGTGGTAAGGTATGTCTTTTATTAAATTCATTTTTTTAGTACTATTTTGCAAATTTCACGTCTATAGGTAAAGTGTTAAATTTATTTTTATCTCTCATCTTACCATAATCCTGAATTTACTTTTTGATCATATTGATAGACGACTAACTAAATTCGATGATTTAGCATAATTAATTATATTAAACTAACCGATCGATTAATCATGTTGTAGTTCTAATAAGCTAATTAACCGGATTGGCTTATGTTCTTATAGTGCTAATGAATAATTCATTGTTTTTTTTCCTATCAAATAAATCAATTCAATGTAAGCCCTAATGATTAACTGAATAAGCTGATTTATTCCATAGTAAATAAAGACAATAAATTTTGCCATAATTAGCAAATAATTAGCAAGTCAATAGTTAATAAAATCAGCGAATTTAAAATATTTCATTCAATAATAGTAAATAATATCGGTGAATTTAATATTTTCATTTCAATCTACTTCTAATTGGCCATTTATTTTAGACTTCATTTCATGGATTATTAAATTATCCATGGGCTATTTCCGTGGCTTTAAATGTTAGCATTTTTAAATATTTTATTAAAAAACTTAATAACAGTTATAATTATTATATCGAAATTACCACACATGATATGATAATAAATGAAAATATTTATTTTTCAAATGCACTTTCCACTGTTCACATTTTCAATTCAAATAAAAAACCAGTTTGAAATCTTTTTCACACTTCTCTTTGCCATATTGTTTTTTTCTTTATTTTATTTCATTTCAAAATTTCAATATGAAATTTCATCCCATTGATTAATGATTTAACAAACATATTAATGAAAGGTTTTTTAGTTATAAAAGAAATAATAGAAAATAAACAAAGGAAGAACGACCTTAAATTACTAATTAAAAATTATTGTCATATTACACATGTGACCAGCATTTTTGCCGCTATTCTTGATATCTTTTTACCAAAATTTCAGCTAAAGTTAATAATCAAAAAAAAAAAAGCCGAAAGAAGGACAAGAAAAAAAAAGAAATTATGCAAATAATATTTTGTGAAATTTCAAAATTTCCGATGGTTCAGAAAATGTGTGGATTTTTTAAAGACTGATCAGAATTTCAAATGTTTTCCTAAAATCTTGCAAATTTTCATTATTTTTCTGTAACTATCTAAGAAATACTTCATATAGGGCACTAATAAACTTGGTGGTGTAATCATATCACCATATCATATCCTTACTGCAGCACATCCATTTGTTGATTTCAATGGCTACAGTATTATTCCATGCAAGTAAGTAATACCCTTCTTTAATAACATTATCTTTATGAAGTACTAAATTCAAATTATTTTGACAAAAAAAATGGAGGTTAAACCAGGGACAAAGGTGAAAATTATGTAGAAAAAAAAACCAGTAATCATCATAATTCCAACTGCAGTAATTTTTTATACTCCATCATAAAAAAAAAGTAACTGAAATAACTTTTTAAATCTTTTATCTCACTTTTTCTTCTTACTTGTTTCATTTTTTCTTTTTTTTCATAGGAATCTGCAAAATTTCAATTTCAAATTACTTAAAAACAATCATTACTTTTCAAAACAACCACTATCGAGATTTTCTTCAACTGTGACAAAGATTGAAAGTTTTCCTGCTTCTTTGGTTGATAGTATCTCAAACTTATGGTAGTTAAATCTTTATTACGATAACTCAGTAATTACGACTTCGATAAGACAAATTAATGACGATAATTATATAAAAATGAGGCCCAATAATGCTCGATATTGACTATCCAACCGACCCCGTTGAATCATATTCTTAGAAATGTTTTTGATGCTCAGGACCCTCTTCTTGCATAGGAAGGATCTTGGTATAGTTTTGAGGTCAATTCTGAGGTCATAAAAATTAGCATCTTTAGAGCATGTATATACAATGGACGCACAATTTTAGCTTACATTTTATATTGCACACATATACAACATGCTGTACTTAGCAGTATCAAATTACCAACAAAGACTAATTCATTGCTTCTTCTTCTTGCAATTTTAGTGATAACTATAAGTTAATCGTATCAGTTCAATAATTATATGTTTTATCATTTTATCATTATCATTGTTTTCTGATCATCTCAAATCATAAATTTTCTTTTTAGCATTATTTGCTATAACACAATATTTTAGTTAATTTTTTCCATTAATTATTAAATTTATGAATTTAAAATGGTTATTTGAATAAATGAAATTTCAGAACTAACACCTATCGTAATATGGCTGAATTATTAAACCGTAAAATTTTATTTGGTGGTAAATGTATTCGTGGTTTTACAACAGGTAGAACAAATCATCCGATATGTGAAGAAGCTGATGTGTTTCACAATAGGGTATAAAATCTTGAATAGACAATGTCTTTTTTTTAATTAATTACAACAAAATTTAATTTGATTTGAATGCTTCGCCAAATTGTTTATTTTACTAATTAATTAGTCATTTGTTTAATTTTATTAATCTGTCACGTGAAACATCCGACATATAAATCAAATAATATAAATTGAACACAATTATATTCTTCCTTATATATATAAATAAAGAAATTATTATTGGTTGAATGTGAAATAATTAGCATGTAGTCGATCATATCATTTTAATTACTTAGTTTTGACATCAGAATATATGTATGTATAGTTTGAGTGCAAAATTATAATTGGTAGAAATTGAAATATTCATTACATTTAATTAATCATTCATTTTAATCACTTAAAATTTTGCCATCAAACTGAATATTTGTATGTTTGTAATTATATGCCCCCTTTTTTTTCATTATACATATTTGCATGATAATTGTTGGTAACGAATTTAGATTCGCACGATAATTCTTGATAACGATTTTATAAGTGAAAATTGTACGAAAGGTCATGACTGGGCAATTATTGAGGTTGAACAACCATTCGTATTTACGGATAAAGTACGACCAATATGTTTACCATTAAAGAATGAAAAATTGCAAAATATTTTAATGATCTTTGGTTGGGGACGAAAAAATTGTAAGTATTACTAGAAATCGTAGTGATACAATGAATAAAACGATTATTATATTCAATATATCCTATAAAAGAAATTTTTTTCGTGATTAATAATCTTAAATTATTTTAATGAAATATGCAAACTTTCCGTCATACAATAATCTTCGTTTAAATATATTAACATAAAGATATTTGATTAGCTAAAAAAGAAAAAAAGCTTGAAAAAGGTAAAGTATAAAAATATAAAGGTTAAAAAATAGGTTTAAATTGGTGGCTTCAAGCGATTAAAAATAATTAATGGATAGGAAATTACAAGAAAATCTTCCACCACATTATTCATACTTTGACATTTCTAGTAAAATACCTTAACATAATACCTTTGAACAAAAAATTCTTCCCTAAATTACTATTTCATTTTTTAAAATTTCTAAGGAATTAAAAGAAAATTTGAAGTAATTACCAGATTATTTTGTAGCATTCTCTGATGGTAGTCCGTTAATTCATGAAACACCGATGCAACTTGATGTAAATTGTCAAGCAACAGTAAGTGACACGATGCCAACAAAAGTAGATGATTACATTTGTATGAAATCATTAAATCCCAAATATATCGATACACCACGTATTTGCTATGTATGTATCCATCATTTCATACTTTAAATTAAATGAATTTAAATTTATTCAATTGCTTTATACCTTAACATTTTTAAGGATTAATTTTTTTGGAAAGAAAAAAAGAAAATTGTTTCTTAATTTACAAAGAAAAACCTTAAATAAATTCATTTCTTAAGTTCTTTTTTCTTTGTTATTTTTGTTTAGTATAATTACATTTAATCTTTTACTGAAAATTGAAATTGCCAAATTTTTTTTACAATGAAAAAAAAGTGAAGTAATTAAATTTGAAATTATTTACAGGGTGATAGTGGTAGTGGTATGCAACAAATTAATGATGATGGAATTGCAACAGTAGTTGGTATTACATCATATGGTTTAAAAGGTTGTCCACCAAATGAACTTGCTCGATTCACACGTGTTGATTATTATCTTGATGAAATATGTCAAATAACTGGTATTTGTTATACCATACAAAATTCAACGATATTTTAATTATTTAATTGAGAGGAAATAAATATGAGATTGTAAAATTAATTTTAAAATTTCTGTATAAATCTGTAATTTGAATTTGTTTTTATGTGTGTTCGTAATTTCAATTTCATTTTTAATATGTTTTTTACTTCAATTTTTTATGTTTTTTTTTTAAAAAGATGTATTTTTTTTCAATTTTATTTATTTTTTACTTTTTTTATATTTCAATTCCATTTTTTTCCATTTTTTTTTCAGTTTAATTTGTACAATTCAAATTTCGAAATAATTCATTTGCAATAAGAAAACAACACAATTTTTGGTAAAAAAAAAGTGTCAAAAAACTTTTACAGTACAAATTTAGAATAAATTTTGACGCTTTCATATTTCTATTGTAATTGTATTTGTATATAATATTTGTATTCTTATATCATGTTTGTGTTTTTGATGGTATTGCAAGCTAAAATTGTAAAATTTTTATTTAATTCAAGTTTATAAAGTTATAAGTTTCATATGAAATGGTTAATTAAATGAATAAGTAAATAATGATTAACAGATAAGTGCTATCGTTAATCAGTGTAACGCTATCATGGCTTACGACTAGAGATTTGGGAAGGCCTTTACTCACACTTCTTGCAAACGCTACAGGCGTGGATGTATTTTTCGAGTTTGCGTAACGGATTCTTTAAATACAAATATTATATGCGGAACAGCGTACGCGGAACTAATCCTCTCTTTTACTCCTAAATTTTTATCTGCCAGAAACTTGATGAGTTAGGACAATGACAAGAAATTCCTCAGGATATAGATTTTATTAAAGTATCATTCTCCGAGATGGATAACCTTACAAAGCTAAACGGACACCACCTACCCATATTTAATATTGAAGTTGTCCTTCTTCGAGGATGGTTGCAGAAAGAAGAGATTAGCAAATCAATCCATCCTGTCAATTGAAGAGTCTTTGTCTAACCTTTCAGCTGAGATTTGTCTGTCGTGAGTAACCCTACCGAGACATTTGCTACCGTTAGCATAGCTCTCAAACTTATAAAAAGCATGTAAGCTTCTCTTTCCGCGACAAGGAAGTGCCTGCAGAGAAAAAACAGCGCAACTTACAATATGGTAATATGATATTTGATCGGAGCATCTGGTTAGCCCTCCAGCATAGCAAGTTTTTTCTGTCCGCGGAGCCGAGGAAGAAGCCTTCCACCCTCTCCCTTGCTACGTCCGTCATCTTGGCAGAGTCGTCCGTCATCTTGGCAGATGGTGGAGACTGCTCCTGATTGATTACATATCCATATTGAAATCAATTAATATCTAGATCAATTCCCTTCATCTCTTTTAATTTCAATATTTCTTCGTTTTGTTTTCTTAATATCCAACCCTCCCATATGTTGGCCAGATTGCTTTTCTTCAGATGCGGATATCCAACTTTGGTGTTTTTGAATATAGTCTTTTTTGTATTTTTTCCATGTTTGAATCAATGCTACTTTTATGTAGTGATTTCTTTTCTTTTGTCATACCATAAATAGACATGTCAACCTAATCTTAAATTAAAACTTTCCAATGTTAAAGTATGTTGATCTTTTACCACAAGTTCATTTAACTTTAAATAATGATGTGATTTGTCCATCCCTGATATGATATTCATTCAACTTTAAATAATGATGTAAAATTGTCCACCCCTCATATGACACATCCTATTAACTCCACTAAGCACTGTGATGCTTAGTGATATACTTGTTGAGAGGGTGAAATTCTCGATTCGAAAATCTCGCATTTTGTCTTAAGGAATTCTCAAAGGATTGGACAACTCAGAAAGACTAATCGAAAAGCCGCACCAAATGCTCGTAATGAACATCTCTTAGCTAAGAAATGACTTTTCACATCAGCGTTGTCCACTACTGCGTGGGCAAGGAATTGAACTTGGTCGGACCAAACGCTTGCTTGAAAGCATACAAACCACTGCACTAACATCACATTGCAAACATTGCACACGATAAATTATAACTTTACTAAATAGTTAGATAAGTAATGAATAATTGGAAAAGATAGCGGAAGATGCGAAATTCAACCATTTAACAAAGCATTATTATTATTATTATTATTATTATTA